CGGGATAGAAAGGTCAGCAAATACTGCTCATACTCTAAAGTTTTTGTATTCCGTATTGTTATCCAATGACTGCATCCGTATAACGAACTGCTTAATATGTAAATTTCCCGCACTAAAATAAAAAGGATGTGGTTTCAGTAACGTGACACAACCTAAATCTTCTAAATTCTGTAAATGATGTTAAATTTAGATTGTAATACCAAACACACAAGTTTTTTCTTTCATATTTATTAATGATGAAAAAAAAAGAATGCTCACAAAGTTGCTGTCCACAGGAAGACTTCATCCGAAGCGGACATATTTCTATGTTGTGATGTTACACTATTGTTTCAGATAAGGGTGAAGGTTTGGTACCATTAAAACGTTTAAACCCGCTGCAATTGTTTGCACCTGTCCTAAGTCAGGAATCTGATGTTCAGTAGTTGTCGTTTGTTGATGTGGATCATAAGTGTTTCTCGTTTCTCGTTTTTTATATAGATTAGACCGTTGGTTTTCCCGTTTGAATGGTTTTACACTAGTAATTTTTGGGGCCCTTTATAGCTTGCTGTTCGGTGTGAGCCAAGGCTTCGTGTTGACGACCGTACTTTGACCTATAATGGTTTACTTTTATAAATTTTGACTTGGATGGAGAGTTGTCTCATTGGCACTCATACCATATCTTCTTACATCTATATATTATTCCGAATACAACGTGGTTAACCAAGATGCCGCATATAATGATTTAAATTCTATAAATACCATCATTTTTCTTTTTTATACCTCGAACCCATGACACTCGACATTGTGGCGAGTACAAAAACAAATATTTGTGTTTGCTTTGTTTAAGAAAAAGGTTGGATTTAAGGTGACTGGTCAGTGAACTATTTGATACTTCTTATATAACACCTTTGGTTAAGAGAACAAGGCACCTTCTAATTAGGATCTGATAATCCTGGAAGAACACCAGTCCTGATATCACTCTCTTTGTTTGAGGATCTGCTAATCCTTGAAGAACACCCGTCCTGATATCACTCTCGTTGTTTGCGGATCTGCTTATCCTTGAAGAACACCAGTCCTGATATCACTCTCGTTGTTTGAGGATCTGCTAATCCTTGAAGAACACCAGTCCTGATATCACTCTCGTTGTTTGAGGATCTGCTAACCCTTGCAGAACACCAGTTCTGATATCACTCTCGTTGTTTGAGGATCTGCTAATCCTTGAAGAACACCAGTCCTGATATCACTCTCGTTGTTTGAGGATCTGCTAACCCTTGAAGAACACCAGTCCTGATATCACTCTCGTTGTTTGAGGATCTGCTAACCCTTGAAGAACACTAATATCGCTGTCAGTATTTGAGAAAGTTCGTATAACCCAAGACTAAGTTTTATACCTTACACATTTCAATGTATGCTTTAGTTAATATATTAAATTGTCGTCATATTTTATGAAGCACATATAATTCTCACTTAATCTAGCAAGAACACATAAAATCCATTTCTGATTACATACATATCGAATAAATTTGATAACTAAACGAAGAAAAAAAATATAACGATGAGTTTTATTTTATTTTATCGAATACCTTTAAAGCATTTATTAAAGTTGAAAAGTATTGAAACATTAGTAGCATTAAAATCAAACACAATTAATAGAATAGATAAACAACTTCATGCTCAGACTTATTGAAAAAGATGAGATGTAGTTGTGAATGCTGATGATGCAACATAAAAAATAAAATCCTTACAAAATAAACATTGATACATTTGTCAGCTCACGTCATATTTTCAAATATTTGTATTTAATTCAGACAAGCTTCTTATATATATTGCACACATTAATTGGATCACGTTATGGTAGAAGTTACGAATCTATTTATATGGACACATATTCAACCCTGAAGTAGGAATTATATCAGATTTGCAAGATCTGTTTTATCGCACAGGAGGTTGAAAAAAAAACATAATATTTTTGTCTTTACTATTTAACCAAAAAGTGTTGACTTCTCTCGTCCTGCAGTAAAACCCATGTTATAGGAGGACGTCCGTTTGGTTGTACGCGATGTATAAATACGCAGCCACATCTGGTCAAAATTGTGACTTTAAATTTGATGCTTCGTGTAGAGAGATTGCGACACTTTCTGCACAAAAAAAAAACTGTTGCAACAAGTCTTAAGTTTCGGATATACTAGTATTCACATGACATTAACACCTTATTGTCCTGAATATGCATGTCTGGGAGAAATGATGTATTTATTGTTTGTAATTGGCTTTTTGCGCCTGTCCCAAGTCAGGAGCCTCTGGCCTTTGTTAGTCTTGTATGTTTTTTAATTTTAGTTCATTTATATGTTTTGGAGTTTAGGGTGACGTCCATTTTCACTGAACTAGTACACAATTTTATTTAGGGGCCAGCTGAGGACCACCTCCGGGTGCGGGATTTTCTCGCTGCGTTGAAGACCCATTGGTGGCCTTCGGCTGTTGTCTGCTCTTTGGTCGGGTTGTTGTCTCTTTGACATATTCCCCATTTCCATTCTCAATTTTTATATCGGTAATTCGTGTCTTTTGTCTTTATGTTAGTTGTGTTTGTGCTTCGTGTCAACCTGATGAATCAAGACGTTTCGAGTTGATGTTCATATGTTGTGCTGTTACACCATCGTCCCTAGTTAGGCGGTGAACGCTCACACACATTTGTAACCCCGCCACATTTTTTATATGCCTGTCCAAAGTCAAGAGCATGTAACTCAGTGTGGTTAATTCTTGTCTGTCATGTTTGTTTTTCGTTTATTTTTTTGTCATCAATCGTTGGTTTCTCGTTTGAATTGTTTCACATCTTGTCATGTCGGGACCTTTAATAGCTGACTCTAAAGTATGTGTTTTGCTTATTGTTGTAGGCTGTGAGGTGACTCATAGTTCGTTACATCCTCTTCATTTGGACTTTGGTGGATAGTTGTCTCATTGGTAATCATTCCAAATCTCTTTATTCATAATGTAAATTTGCCACGTACGTAAGCGTCCACCGGTAAAAAATTGACATCACGTTTATTGTGTTGTTTTATATTCAAATGGTCATTTGATGGGCATAAATCCGGTTCGTTGTTTATGTGGTTTCTTTATTTTTTAAAGTATAAACTTCGTACTATACATAAGTTGCAATTTTCTCTAAATTAATGGTTATTGTGTGTAGCAGAAGTTTTTTTAAAACATGAAATACTGGACCTTTAAAATGAAACACTTAATAAATTTGGTGTGTTGGAAGCGCTTTCTTTAAAACCAAAATTTCTAAAACCGAGGATATATGAATACCTGAGGAGCTAAAGGTTCCTGACGTTAATAGCCAAATCCATCTGATTTCAAATTTGCCTAAGGTGTTCGGAACCTCAAATTCTTACAAATTTATAAATTTATCAACGGAAAATGTATGCCTCTATATAGTTCATTTTCAGCAAAATATTACATTTTTTTTGTACACTGAGAGTAATTTTCGTAATCTGGGTAAATATGCTGAGAAATACGGTTGCCTGAATTCTCTTGTCCGCCAGCAAAACCAATGATTTGTGGGTGTCCGTTTTGCTGTGTCGGATCTCAATATACGTAGGCACGTCCGGTAGGTATCGGGAAGTTATATCTGATGCCTCGTATTGTGTGATGAACGCATTTGTACGTTAATTAATCCTTGCAATAAATCTTTGAGGGGTCCTTATGTGACAAATTGAAAGGCAAAATGTTGGTCAAAAAACACACCCTCTTCTTTCCAGATGTTGTCCAAATTCACATCCCTTCATCCATAGTAGACCAACTTTTTAGTGTACCTGCTTTATTTCTTTATTGTTAAACATTATCGCCCTGAATTAGTTGAGATATTTGCCACAGGACATCAAACAAACAATTATTCGGTACTAATTATTGTCGAGAGGATTTCAGCTATTTTGCTGTGTAACACAGTCTTCAAAAGCAGTCTCCTTTCTAACATGGTAATAAACTCAGTGAATTTACTTATATTATAAACTATCAAATGTTCAAGCTGCATGTTATCAGTGTCCGTAGTTAAGTCTCTCTCCTGTTCTTCTAGTCTACAAAGTTCAAATTATATTATTGTATAGATTAAAACAAATATTCATTGGTTGAGGTTCTTTATTTGTCCATTTTTTTACATATCATTACGACTACGCTAATTTGAATGCGGAAGACAAATAACGATCCCTAATTGTAAAGTGTCTTTGAAGAAATTGCCTTTCCGTTAAGAGCTTATGATATCTTCCTTGTAATTACTGTAATTGCTAAGTGGTTACTCCTTCACTTATCTTAAAATTCATCTTAACAAATATCATATTATAATATATATGTGTCATTAAAACAATCTCACAAAAAATATGAAATGTTTGACACTTTCATATATCAGTACTCATCGTAGATAGAAAACAATGTTTGTTAAGGCTTGACTTATTGAAAGTGATCCGAAGAGAGGCGAAAGATACAAAAGGAACATTAAAACTCATAGGTCGAAAATAAACTGTGTGTACGGATTTAAGTCTATCGCATTATGTATGATGCTAGAGCAAATGTTTGTCTACCGAAACCCCCAAATCTCCCAATGCAGTAAAGGGTTAAAAATACAAATCTCGGCTTTGCAAATTTTCCATCTCTATTAAAAATACTAACTTGAGGGTGCGCGATTATGCCAATACCTTCATCGAGTGTAGAAAAATAAAAGTAAATGAGCCTTTGCCCTCTTATTTTATTCAAAATGTGTAAGTAAGTTTTATTTTCTTTTCCATCAAGACTCACAGAGGCAGATCACTTACTTCTGTATGCCAACTTTAACCAATGAATCAATAGTATTTAAACGTTCAACAACTTGTATATGATGATACCAAAATATCATAATGAATTATAACTTTATTATTTTTTTTATATTTTAATTAGCAAAATAAACGGTTATCAATTATGTATGTATGAATGTTTCTTTGTATGCATCAGGAAGTTATCACTTTAACAATAAAATTGATTACTACATAGTCTCTATTTTGTGTAATATGTAGATTTCTGAAAACCATAAGAAGGAAGCGCTGTGCCCATGTGATGATCCCCATCATAATGAGATGTTTATGATTGGCCATTTGATTGAGGATACCACTTAACACTAGAATCTAAGGGGTATATAAAAACAGGGCGAACAGAGAAAAAACATAAGTCCACGCAGCGACAATACCGAATTACGTAAGTCTACTTCAGTTTTTATGTTAATATGTGAGCTAATATTGAACGATTGAATTTTTATTGAGTTAGCAACAACATTGCTTCAGCAAAATAATAAGGTATTTACATATATGACAAATAAGACAAAATACAGAAAACAATTAAATTATACAGAGATAACACATACATTTGTACACCATACTAACTAAGAGTTCTATATACAGGACAAATCAACAGAAAATTATATTCATCTTCAATCTTGTTCATATTACAACATCAACCAAAACTAGGAATATTGTCAAAGCGACCTGTTTCTAAATTGTATTTGGTAAGTATATTGGTATTAACTTCATATATATTAGTCAAGTCGTAAAACATGCAGATATTTTTTTCGCGTTGGGACCTCTTATACCTTACTTTACGGTATGGGTTTTGTGCATTGTTGAAGGCCGTACGTTGACCTATACTATAGTAACTAACATCCACGTCATTTGGACTAGGTGGGTAGTTTTTCATTGGAAATTATACCAGATCTCCTTATTTTGATATTTATTATTTATATGAACTATTAACATGAGGTGTAGTTACCAAATTTCTGCTTAGCCCTTTTATAAGGACAAAACATGTTTACTTTTTCACTGTATTGACTGAGTAGAATGTTCATTCTTAATAAATGTATAAATGCTATTATTGTTATTATTATTCAGTATGGATAGTATGTATATTGCTTAAAGTGCAAAGTAGTTCTGACCTTTTAGTTGCTCGCCCAATTTTGTCAATATAACGGATCTATTGACAATTGTCATACAAGTGGGAGGTTTAGTTAGCTATAAAACCCAATATTTTCTTTAGAAAATGCCTGTACCAAGTTTGGAATATGACATTTGTTCCGTTGGTTGAAATAGTCGAGGTTTGAACTTCCCACTTTTTGAATTTACCTTGGAGTTCGTTATTTTTGTTAGTACTTTTGTTTTAAATAAATCAAAAAGTTAATCTACGATAATCCTATCAATTGCTGTCGGTTTACAATTACCAATATTTTTTAGGTAAGCTAATATGTCAGGACTTTCCATTCTGTGCATTGTTTTCGTGCTCTGTTTCCAAGGATCTTCGTCACAGGATTCAACACCTAGCTGTAAGTTATCCTATAAAAATATGAATTTATGCACTAATAACTTATTTCTGAAGCGAGTGCTCGTATGACCGAAAGTTTTACGGCAAAGATGATATATAAATTTCAATTTTCAATTTTTGTCTATTATCTTTAACAATATAATAGATAGGTATATAGAAACTGCAAATAGCAAAAATGATCAGCAATACAAGATATCCATAAAATGCCAATATGTCCGAATCCATAGAATGACTCATTTTAGGTGTTGTTGTCCTTAAATGGCACTTTTTGACTACTTTACAACTGTTTGCCTATTTATTATCTTAAAAGATAAGTAGAAACTGTGAACACCAAAAAACCATCAGCTACATAAGATTTACAAAATTGCAATATGATAATAACTATCAGACAACTCCTTACAGGATTTGTTGCACTTAAAGAGATGTTTTACTAATTTTCGAGTAATGTTTGCCTCTAATCTAAAGTTATAAAGGTAGAAACTTTTAACAGCAAAATTGGCCGTTATACAAGATTTATAAGAATGGCAGGTGAGCGATTCAAGCTCTTATGAGCCTCTTGTTTCATATATAAAACAGAGGAGAAAGATACCAAACTGACTTTCAAACTCATAAGTCGAAAATAAACGGACAACGCCATGGAAAAAAAATCATAAAAGACAAACAACATACACAAAACACAACATAGAAAACTAAAGACTGAGCAACATGAACCCCACAAAACACCGGGGTGATATCTGGTGTTCCAGAAGGGTACTTAGTAATCAGATCCTGCTCCACATGCGACACCCGTCGTTTTACTCATATAAGATACGTTGATAAGTTACATCCCAAGTGATTAGATATCACTGTCAAAATAGTGGTGTAAGATTAAATTAAACCAAAAAAAAAATTATGGTTTTTGAGGCTCGCATACGTGTTATGTATTTGGATATTCAAACTTTTGATCTCAAGGCAAGGTTATCTTAGAAACACGTGTCCTGCGTTCTTAAATAGGTAACATTTGCTGTTATTACTATCACTAGGTCAGTATTGTTGCTTGTAAACTATCAATAGCCAGTGATTATTTCCTGGCTTGATTTAACTGGTACAATTTGACTTGAAATTTTCAGTTTATAATTTGTGTAGTTTTAATAAAACTAGAGATGCAACTCCCCAAGACAAGTTGACTTAATACAGCTTTAGATGAAAAGCTTAGGTCCATTTTGATTTGCTACTCACAAATGTTTTATGTCTTGGCTATCCGAAAATTTGGTCTTGACTGTACCTGATGAAGGTTGTTCGAGAAACACGTCGTGTAGCGCACTGAAATCGGTACAATACTAGTATGCTTTAATAAGTCACTACAAAATTACTTCAGTTACTTTTTCATCGAATTGTAAAAACAATTTTAATTATTTTATAATAAAAAGTTCATGAATTATATATATATATATATAAAATTTATCAAATTTATTTTGTAAATAGGGTCGGAAATTTTAGAGCATACTGGAGGTCTTTCTGGGAATGTAGGTGGCCTGCATACATGGCCTAGTGGATCAAACCTTGGAGGTTACCTGCACGGTGATTTAGGAAACCCTAATATAATAGACGGTAAGTACAACCTGAACTCATTTGGATAAAAAAAAGTATTCGTTGTCGCTGGTTTGTGTGCTGATTTTGGTGTATTTACTGTGAGAAAAACACTCTTTGGTCATTTCAAGGAAGAAATACTTCAATGACACCGTTCGGGTTTTTTTTTCAACAAGGGACAAAAGACGAAGTTCATAATTACAATCAGATGGCTTCTACATGTGGATAGTCCTGAATATGCATGAAATAGTTGTCACTGGACGTTAAGCAATTAACAATCTACATATGGAGCTAGATTTGTATGCTTACCTTAATGGAGCACATGATACTACAATCGGTTGTTAAAATGCTTTTGTCATTAGATGTTGTCTGCTGATTATATATGTGTATGTGTAATACATAGTGCTCTTATCTTTGACTTTATAAAAGTAAATACCGAATTTAATAAAGCAAATGTTTGTGCTATCCTTTGCAAGTTATTGGTCGAAAGATAATAGAATACATTAAAATATAAGTGGAGTTCTATCTAGTTTTTTATTTATCGTATTTATCAACATATTTTGATATGAACAGGAGGAGGAATTCGAGGTAGATACCAAACAGATCGGTTTAATTTCGGTGGAGATGCCAATGTGAGATTTCCTTATGGTGGCCGACCTTCATATGGTAGGTCATACATTTTCATTAAATGTAGAATTGTGTATTATTATTAGATCCGTGGTTTTTCCACAAGTACGCTGCTGTGTTTGTAGTCCTTTCTGTAACTCGTTACACCTTAGAGACATAAAAAAACACAATAGCCTCAGTCATTGTTCTCTGTATATTAAAGTCTTATTTATAATTACAATTTTTAATTTATATTAACTTTAGCAGAGACTGCCAAACCATGAAGGTAAAAATAGACAACCACTGACAACGTTCCTGACTGAAGACATGCAAGCTAACATGTGACGGAGTTAAACTAGTTTTACAGCCCCTGTTTTTCGATCATTGAGAAAACAAAACGAACAACATAAAGCGTAAATGACAGTTAATGAAAGTGTAACAAAAAATTTGTTCCGGCATGACATTTGTTCCGCCGGAACAAATTTCATAGGAAATATGTTCCACCGGAATTTATATCACAGAAAATATGTTCCAGCACTGAAAAATTTGTTCCGGAACTAATTTTTTGGCCAAATGTGAAATAAGTTCCGGAACAAAAATCATAGCTCCATGAATTTTGCTTCAATTAATATTAAAAAGTTTTAAATAAGTTCCTGTGACATTAGTTTTAAACGAACATGTAAATATTTCATAGAAACTAATGAATAAGTTCCGCTCAATCATTATTGCACACAGAAACATTTTCTTGTTACACTTAAATTATAATGCAAGCTAAATGCTGTACTATGTTTACTTGAATGGGATACATTTGCAATTGAAGGCATGACTGTAACTATATGATGAAGATAAGAAATAAAAGCGATGGTAATGTATCATAATTTGTATTTATGTTTTATGCGGTATTCCTCCTTGGTTCCTGTTAACTGTCATATGGCCCCGTGTTCTAGTCATACATGTACTTAGGACATGACACAGTTTCAAAAGAGTGTGTCTTTTTTTTTCTACATGTCTTTTGATATTTATAAATGATCAAGTCACTTTGTCCATTTCAAATTAGTACATATGTTCCTCTTAAACTATACTTTTTTTCTGAATGATTTTTCTTATTCTAATCTTTTCTGGTTCAAAAGTGTCATTTAGATATTTTTTACAGAGTATATAATTAAACATTTGCTATACTCCATAGGATCCAAACTGGATGATTTACACTTTTAATCTATTATATTATTTAGAATATAGCAAAGTACTCTCGACCAATGAAATTGTAGGATTGGATGCCTCTTAATTGTGAAGAATGAATGTAAATCATGTTCTTAGTAAGGAATTATCCTATTATTTGGGTCTATTTACAGTTCAAAACAAAGAGTTTCTATAAATGAGTTACAACTGCCCCGAAGCACATTTATCAGATTGAAAGGATTTATCACACAGTGATTGAAACTGACTAAAAGTTGAGTTGTGAAAATCTCAAAATAAGTTGAAGTTTACTGGTGCAGTAAAATTGGTACCGTGAATGTTATTATGAAAATATTAATAACTTCAAATTACTATAAAATTAAACAATACCAAAGCAATGCAAAAAAAAAGAAAAAAATCTTTCAGATAAAAAATAAGCTAAATCTTTAGCTTTCCAAAACCTTGATTACTTGATCAGCGGTTGGGGAGAATAGTTATTTCCAATACATGTATTCCGATAAAAAAAAAAACAGGAATTTAATTTTGAACATATTAAAAACTTTTAAGGGTGTTATTTTTGAACATTTCCCTGACATAATGAAACAGTATTTGATGTGAAAAGCCGGACCAAATTATTGGCTGTGAAATAAAATTTAGTTGCAACTCAAATGTATTAATTGATTTAAACTGTAAATAAAAAAAGGATAATTCCTCACTAAAATATTACATGATTTACATTCATACTCACAATCAGGAAACATACAATTCCTACCTTTTCTTTCTACTGTTGTGTCACCTAATATCTATAACGCGTTTAAAAAAAAAATATTTCCCAAATGATAAGAAAGTCCTCACATCACTAAAACTAATCCATAAATGACATGCCGAAAAAAGAAATCATGCATCAATTATAAACATTGCACTGACAATAAAACTAATTCTTAAATAGATCATTTGAGCCTTGAGCACTTTACAATATTCTAAGTTTGTAAGAGAATGATAATCCCTTACTTCATGATAAGTACTCGCTAACGCTCGTACTTATTCATGAAGAAAGGGATTATCATTCTCTTACATATACTAATATAATACTTATTTTTATAATGCACTTGAATGATAACTTTAAACTCACTGATGACAAATGCTCAGTATTTAAGATAACTTGTTTAACAAGTGGAACATATTTCACAGACAAGGAACTTATTTCACCAGGTGAGGAACAAATCTCACAAACTCAGAACTTATTTCACCAGGTAAGGAACAAATCTCATAAACCCGGAACTTATTTCACTAGGTAAAGTGTGGAACTTATTTTATAGAGATGGAACAAATTATTTAGAAATTACATGTGAAAAAAGTTCTCCCAGAACATATTTCCTGTGATATAAGTTCCACTGGAACTTTTTTAACAGGAACAAATTTTGGCTCACAAAAGCCTTTAAAGTACTTCATTTGATATAGACACCATAACTTCTTTCATACTATTTGATATAAGCAATTGCACTTCCGATTAAAACAACGTTGTTAACAGTGCAGAAAACCACCATCTCCATGATGATCTTGTGCAATGCACCAAAGTAAATTTTTGTATAAAATTTCATTTCATAAAATAAATTGAAACACATATTCGTTTTTCATACTGTATATAAGCGAATTACTTTGATGTTTAAATAATCACAAAAATGCAAGGTGAATTAACATCAAATGTACTATGTTGTCAATTCACTTTAGTAGTTTAGAGTGGCTTTGATTTGCCCCTGTTTTATTTATACTCTACTGATAGAGTCTTACCTTATTCATTTGGTGTACATTGAGCAAAATGCTTTAAGATTGTTTTTTTTGGTTTTTTTTGCCATTTAATGTATTATACACATCCTGTTTATTCATACCATAAATGTATGAAAAAAATCACAGATTCAATGAACAAAATTAAAAAATGATATTTTTCATATGAAGGATTAGAAGCATATGGCGGTGTTGATTTCGGTAGAGACAGAAGCTGGAACTTAGGAGGGAGAGGATTTGCACGTGGACAGTTTGGAAGCAGACCGAGTGATTATGGATGTACGTATATAAAATGCAAAATCGTGTGTAATACATGCAAACCATACTAAATATTATTGTTATACACATATTCACATTCACGGTACTACAATTTGTCGATACCTATATATAGATATCTTGGCATTGCATAAGGTCCTGTTTTTCTCTGACTGTTATTAGTGTTCATGACATCTTTACACTAAATCCATTAGATGTTGGATGTGTACTGATTGATTTTAGTCTTAGATACATGATTTTTTTATTAAATGTTATTGGATTTGAACTAGCTGTCAGTAACTGTGAGTACTCTCAGATCTGTACTTTTTAAAGAGGTTAACTTCTAACTATCCTACTGCCTGTCGATACATTTATTTTTGGCATTGTACAAGTCATGTCTTCTTTGACTGTCCATGACGTTAAAATACTAAATCCCTGGGATGTGTTTTAGTTGTTTTTAGTCTCTGATGCATGATTTTTTTATTATTAACTGTATTTGGCTTTTAACTAGCTTTCAGTAACTGCAAGTACTCTCAAATCGTACTTTCTTGTTTATTTGACCTGTTGATACTAATTGTAATGCTTTCTTGTTATTCAATGTTATTCAGGGTTACATCTGGTCTATATACCATCTTTGATAAGTGTTTGGTATTACTATAAATTTTCACTTTTTCGTAATATGAACATCAAAATTATTTATTTTGTAAAAATATTTCCTTTCTCTATTTGAACTGTACACGTATACCTAACAACACAATTATTTTCATTTACCTGTCTTTAAAGTAATTGCAAATGGCTGATATTTTTGTTCTAGCATATTGTTTTTCTTATATTGTTTAACATTTCTCAGCAGTATAACATGTTACTTTAATTATTCTTCCCTTAGTTTATTTATTTTGTATTTACATTGTATCATAGATCAAATTTATTTGTTCAGTGTATGTTCACTGGTGTTAATATGTCTTTTGATTGAGTTAAGCCATTTCAATTGATATTTTATAGTGTGTCTTTCTATGTTGTGATGTTACACTATTGTTTCAGATAAGGGTGAATGTTTGGTACCATTAAAACGTTTAAACACGCTGCAATTGTTTGCACCTGTCCTAACTCAGGAATCTGATATTCAGTAGTTGTCGTTTGTTGATGTGGTTCATAAGTGTTTCTTGTTTCTCGTTTTTTATATAGATTAGACCGTTGGTTTTCCCGTTTGAATGGTTTTACACTAGTAATTTTTGGGGCCCTTTATAGCTTGCTGTTCGGTGTGAGTCAAGGCTCCGTGTTGAAGACCGTACTTTGACCTATAATGGTTTATGTTATTAAATTTTGACTTGGATGGAAAGTTGTCTCATTGGTACTCATACCACATCTTCTTATATCTATTTGTGTCTTTTCTGTTTGTAGGGATGTATAAATACCCTGCTACGTCCGATCTGTGTTTTTGTTAGATGTTTTTTTCTGCTTTGAAAAGATCTGATGAGTTTAGCCCTTTTTCAACTTTACGCTTTCTTCAGTTTTTTGGGGGGAGGGTGTGTGTTTATGTGTTTCATTATTTTATGTCATCGTGGTTCATTCATATGACATGTTCTTTTTTTTTGTGTCTTTTTTCTTTTCGTTTTGGTAAAACTGCCTTTTTTCGATCGTATTTTGTAATGTGGTGGTGAAGTTTCTGTCGCTGTCGCTCTCCTTTCTTTAGATATAAGAAACTTTAACATCATCTTTTCTAGACACAAAATATATAATAAAATTGATGATGCCCCCCACATACACACATACACACATACACACAATCATCATATTGATCTGAATTCCCTTTTTCGACTATTCATTACTTAAGCAAAAAAATATTTTATTTTAGCATCTTCCTTTATTTTTTATAGTGGCTAAAATTCGAAATATCATGTCTAAAATTAGTGACTGTATGTTACTAGCATATCAAAATGTACTGTCTAAAATACAATACTGTGTAAAAATGGCTATAAGCTGGAATTAAGTTCGATATAAATATACTATTTTTTGCAGTTGGTGTCACTCTCACTAAGAAGTTTGGCAGACGACGTAGATCTATTTCATGCATCTCACAATGCAGTAAAGTGTGTGGACAATCTACAAGGTGCAAGAGAAGATGTTTATCACATGCCTGTGGCATTTAAAAAGGATTTTATAACATTTTAAAAATGTAGTATTTTTTTTATCTATTATGCATTGGCTTCTACAATATGAACATAATGGGTTAAGTTTTAGAAATGGTACAAGAACTATACAGTATTAAAATTATATAAAAGTATGAAATACATGTTTATTTTTAAATTTGCCACTTGACGTTTAGAAAACAACACTCAATCAATCAATAAATTCCGAGCAACCATATGGATGTCCCCTAACTCTCGGCATTGGGTTTACTGCCGAACGTAGAAATGTATTCCATACCTCAGACAGCCTTGAATATTTTGTATATCCCAGAGGTTGTTTTAGCCTAAATAATGTCACTGGTTTTCTCTTTTGAATTGTAACATATCTTACATGCAGGTGCCTTTTATAGCTCACAGGGGATTATTTATATCATTAACAATCATACCAACAACATACTGGTGTCTACATACATTATTTCAAACTTTAAATAGCCCTGAGTCTAAACAAAAAACCCAAGTGTGAATAGTGTATATTTAACTTCGTTAGCGTTGAACTATCATGGAATTATTATTTGCTATCTTTGTGAGTTTGACACCAGTGTTGAGAGAGGTCCATGCTCTGTGCATGTTAAAGAATCAATACAAAAAATATTTTAGGGTCCGTTGGTGGACTGTTGCAGCATTTCTCATCCTGTCCTGCATATCTCGCCCACCTATTGGATTTATTGTCATTTATTCTTTCCCAGAATACGCATGAAATATTTTCTACTGGACGTTAAGCAAACAATCAATAAAATCAATCATCCCCGTCCTCAATCGTCATAAACACCAACAAGGCAGTATTCACATGAAGCAGCTAAAAATTGTCATGAACTCCAATTTAAAATGAGCGAGACCGAGTACTTCGATAGAATAAGTGTCTCCTGCTATAATAACTTAAGATCAAAGACCGCTAAAGATATTACTTGTTAGCTGTGACACGGGCACGTTATCTTATCTGTCTAACCAATTCGTGATGGGGACCGTAAAACTTTATACTTTCGAAATCAGTCGTTCTTCCTCACAACCCTGCTGGAGTCATTCTTGTGTTAAGACTACTCCCCTGTTAATGAAGTCCGTATAGCGTGGGCATGCACGTGCGTAATGTAACAATTGTGGTATGTAAATGTCATACGACTGGCCAGCATGTATGCAAATATGAAGGAACTGACAAAGGGGAACTGAAATCGTCATGCTTATCATAGATCATACGTTAAGGTCGTCCATCTCTTTCAATTCAAGAAAAAAGACCCAGATATGTAGCAGACCTTTTAATTTCAGTAGTATCCTTAATGTCAGGTTCACTTGGATACTTAAGATACATTTATACTCTGAAATGTGTATTATTGGGTGACAGGATATCATCAATATATCTGAACATGAAATGAAAGAACTTTTTGTCTTTGAGGGAAGGGTTTGTATGAATTCTACTTCAATTATAAATACAAAAACAATTCGGTCAGTAGGGGTGTACAAACGGTACCCATTGGAATACCAAATGTTTGTTGAAATGTCAATTAACTAAACTCGACAAATAGAGTATATACTGTCAATAAAAATAAAGTCCGGCATTTGGTGATAGTTCTTTGGTGTATTTGGTGTTGGAATGAGTGTGTTTCTTTGTAAAGTAAGATTGTGTGACCTAAAATTTAAATAACAATTTTCATTTTTGCAGAAAGGCACCGCTTGATGAGAAGATACGCTCGATTTTTCAAGTCAAAATAAGGAAAAGTAATGTAGAGTGTTTGTGTTTAAATATTTTAGATCAGATTTCTATAATTTGTAAGAATCCAAATCTGATTGAAACCTCTCGGAGAGTATACCTCGTCACAATATTTTTGAAGGCCATCTTTTACTGTAGAAAGATTGGTGGTAAGAATTTTCTAATCAAAGATGTTTAGTTGAACATCTAAGTGAGCTTGAAATATATATTATACGTTGTTTAGGGCTTTGTCTATTGAAACAACAACATATCTTTGGTGAAGAGAGGATAAAGGACCAACAATCTCAGGCTTCTTCTAAAGGTTCTCATATTACAGCAGATAGTACGACAATCTGAACGAATACAAAATCGTCGTAGTCAAAGCACCAATAAAAAGTTTATGATAAACTGACAAAACATGGAAAAGAAACCACAAAGACTAAACGAAAAAAAGGAATACCTACTGTCATACTACTTACTTTGTACGAAAAATTGGAAATCAAGATTTGCTATTCAAACATTATAAAATAGTAAACCGTTCATTTTTGAAAATGAGAAATTCATACTGTTATAATTAACATGATTCACTAGATTCTGTATCAACATAAACTATGTACCGAGAAAAAACTTATAGGAAACAAAGGCTCTGAAGTATATATATAACGACATTGTATGTAAGTAATAATCCCTAATTTTACAAGTGCTTCTGGAAGTTTGCTGTCAATAATAGGAAGTTAGAAATAAAAAATACAGTCAAACTGGCTTCTACTGTCAACCTCGCGGAAAGCTTAGATGCTGCTATTAATCATTGATAAGTTTTGTACCTGTTCCAGACAAGAGCAAATTGAAACACTAAATGATGTAGCTTACCATATGAAATACAGACAGAAGAAGTAGCGGTGATCAGCGTAATTGGTATTTTAGTTTAATCAAAAGATTACCTGTTTAGAAACCATACATAATATGCAAAAAATATTTTATTCTGTTATAAAATACTAATGTTTTTCTGTAATTAACAAGTTTCTTTTCGATCTTAAAAAATCGGTTATATATATCAATATAGAAACTGTAAGAAATGTAGCACAGAAACAAGTGTTATGATAAAAATTAGCTATGTATGATCGTTATTCTTGATCAGTTTTGAGGAGTATAGTATTGATACAAATTAAGAGGACCTGTTTTTTTGTGGTTTAAAATAAATGTCTCCCTTTCATCTTTAGAATCAAACCGGTAAAGGAAAGGCATATCAAAAACAATCAAGTATTTGAAAGTTCTTAATAACGGTTATATTAATTGTTATATTACACTTTTGATTTTTGAATTCGATGGGCAAAAAGGTGGCCTTATCATACCTTCTTCTTTCACCAGTAAAAACACATATGTCCAGAAAATAAATGGTTGGTATATACGGGATTAGGTAACACCGTAATTGTATCTCCACCATCGTAAGTATCAGAACATAAAATAAGATCTATCATTACTTGAGGGCATCTAGTCATATCTTTATACACTTGCACAGATATATAAAATAAGATCTATCATTACGTGTAAGAGGACATCTAGTCATATCTTTATACACTTGCACAGATATATAAAATAAGATCTATCATTACGCGTAAGAAGGCATCTAGTCAAATGTTTATACAATTGCACAGATATATAAAATAAGATCTATCATTACGCGTAAGAAGGCATCTAGTCATATGTTTATACAATTGCACAGATATATAAAATAAGATCTATCATTACGTGTAAGAGGGCATCTAGTCATATGTTTATACAATTGCACAGATATATAAAATAAGATCTACCATTACGTGTAAGAGGGCATCTAGTCATGTCCTTATACAATTGCACAGATATATAAAATAAAATCTATCATTACGTGTAAGAAGGCATCTAGTCATGTCTTTATACAATTGCACAGATATATAAAATAAGATCTACCATTACGTGTAAGAGGACATCTAGTCATATCTTTATACAATTGCACAGATATATGAAATAAGATCTACCATTACGTGTAAGAGGGCATCTAGTCATTTCTTTATACAATTGCACAGATATATAAATTAAGATCTATCATTACGTGTAAGAGGACATCTAGTCATATCTTTATACAATTGTACAGATATATAAAATAAGATCTACCATTACGTGTAAGAGGATATCTAGTCATATCTTTATACAATTGCACAGATATATAAAATAAGATCTATCATTACGTGTAAGAAGGCATCTAGTCATATCTTTATACAATTGCACAGATATATAAAATAAGATCTACCATTACGTGTAAGAGGGCATCTAGTCATTTCTTTATACACTTGCACAGATACTAAATAAGAGGAAAGAAGATACACAGAGAACAATAAAAAAGGCGAAGAAAGACTTTCAGACTTTCAGAGAAAAAAACACATACACTAACAACAGCTCCACAAAATAATAAACAGAAAACTACAGATTGCACAACAAAACCAAACAAAATCGGGGGGTTAACGCAGATGCTGTGGAAGGGTAAGCATTGTCTGCTCCTCGTGTGGCACCCGTCATGTTGTTCATGGTGAGTAAATATCCCGTGATAAATAAATACATCAAACTTATTTTCTTTCGAAATCACTCGTTCTTCCTCACAACCCTGCTGGAGTAATTTTTGCATTAAGAGTACTCCCATGTTAATAAAGTCTGTATAGTGTGGGTATGCACGTGAGTAATGTTAAACGCCATACGACTGGCCAGCATGTATGCAACTATGAAGGAACTGACAATAGGGAACTGAATTCGTCATGCTTATCATAGATCATACTTTAAAGTCGTCCATCTGTTTCAATTTAAGAAAACGTCCCAGATATGTAGCAGACCTTCTAACTTCAGTAGTATCCTTAATGTCAGGTTCACTGGGATGTTTGAGATCCATGCATACTCTGAAATATGTATTATTGAGTGACAGGATATCATCAATATATCTGAACGTGAAATTAAAGAACTTTTTGTCTTTGCGGTAAGGGTTTGTATGAATTCTACTTCATATATAAATAGAAAAATAAGTCGATCAGTAGGGGTGTACTACAGTACCCATTGGCATACCAAATATTTGTTGAAATATCAATTAACTTAACTCGCCAAATAGAGTACTAGTATATGTTATCAATATAAAAAAAGTCCGACATTTTGGTGATATCTTGTTTGGTGTATTTAGTGTTGTATTGTGTCTCATTGCAAAGTAAGATTTTGTGACCCAAAGTTTAATTAATAAATAATACTCTAACAACAGCTCCACAAAATAATATACAGAAATTTCAGATTACACAACACAACCAAACAAAAATAGGGGGTTAACTGAGATCCTGTGGAAGGGTAAGCATTGTCTGCTCCTCATGTGGCACCCGTCATGTTGCTCATGGTGAGTAAATATCCCG